ATTACTAATTAAAATTTTAAACTATGCACAACATAACTAAAAAAAATTTTAAAAAATTTATTTCAAGTAAGCATTATGCTTTCTTTATTACAGAAGTATTGTTAATAATTAAGTTTGAAATTTTTGATAAACCAACTTTAAGAATTACTTTTTCTAAATCTTTTACAATTATTTCAGTATTTTGTTACATTTTATTAGTCAGATATGCAGTAAAAAAATCCAAGTTAGAAGTTATTAAAATGTAATTTGTCTAATATTATTAGACCAAGTTAGAACATCTATCAGTTATAAGATACATATTTGTGCTTTTATTAATTAAAGTTTTAGTATTACATTTAGTCTTATTAAAAACACAATCTAGCAATTTTATAAAAAATTTTTTTTAGCTAGAAAGTCTAATATTGGTTTTGCTTGCTGTTACAAATTTCTGATAGATTTCATTTTAGATAGTGATAAAAAAAATCTATAGTAAAATACAGTTTTTACAAATACTAATTTAAGAGATGTTTGCTCTTTTTTGAAATTTGATCTGCACCTAGTGATGATAAAATAAATATACTTATAAATGGTTTAGAGTTGCTTTTTTTATATAAGCTTTAAAATAATTTTTTTCTATTAATGTTACTTTAGAGTATTTTTGCAAATAAATACAAACTAATCAAAATAAATTATTTATCTGATAACTATACTTTTTGCACTATCTTCTTCTTTGCTTATATCCAACTACATGTTCTAGTTGATTAAAGTTCTTCTATATAAAATCAGATAATGGCATTCTTAATTTAACTAATAATTAATAAAAAAAATTAATTATATAATATAAAATTATTATTAAATAAACAATATATAGTATAATTTTAAAATAGGTACCTTTAACTGCTTTAATAAGAAACATCCAAAATCTTATAAAGAAAAAATCTTAAAAAAAAAAACAGTTGCAGGTATATAAAAATCAGGTATCAAAAAATTTTATAGTAACTAAAAAAAAAACTGTAAATATAAGAATTTATTATATTAAGTATTAAAAAAATAAATAAAATAATATACTTTTAGTTGCTGCTAATTTAATTTTTTTTTATTATACAAAAATTTTTAAATCTTAAATAATATAGTATAAATAAATAATCATATAATAAAGTGCAAGTGATAAGTAAATAATATAGTATAAGCAATAAGTAAATATAGTACAAAATAATTTTAAAATAAGTATCTTTAACTTTTTTATTTTTGTATAAAATGAAAAAAAATTTATATAAAAAAAAAGATATCTATATAAACATTGCAAAATAATAATAATAAATATAATATAATATTCAAAAATACCTTTAGCAGTTTTTAATTTTTTTATATATATATATAAACTCAAATTTTGTCTTTAATTTTTGAAAACTTGCAAAAGTAAAGGTAAATAAAAAAATATATATATTATAAATGCATCTTAACAAAATATAAGCTTCTAAATTCTATTTTCTATATATATATAAGTATATTTTACAAATATTAACACTTATTAACACTAACTCTCATTAGCACTAGCTATTACTATCATTAACTATTATAAACTCTTTTTTTATTAACTTGCAATTAGATTATAATTATTATTATAATTATTATTTTATGTAGTATAAGCACTTAAATGTGCATTATGCTCATGCAGAATTATATATATATATTATACAATATAATGCATCTAGTGTTCATCTCTATTTATAACCTGTTTCTGATATATCAAGTCTAATTCAATATTCTTTGTTTTTAATTCAAATCTAATAATCTGTTTAGTAGTACTTATTATTTAAAAATTTTTTATTTTTTAAATATTAAAGTAAATACTTGCAACCTAGAATTTTATTAATAATATATTTGGCTAATAGTTATATTACAATTACAAAAGGCAACTATAGAAAGAGTGTACAACTAGCTACTTGTACAACTTTAGTTATTGTCTAATTTAAGTAGTTTGTTTGAAGGTTCTACACTAGTTGCCATATTTGGAACCTACTTGTAAGTTCTCTATTTAAACATTCTAGTTCTCATATTTACCCATCTACCTTTGCCTATTAATGATCTTAGCTGATGTTGATGAAAATATGCTATAGCTACTAAGTTTTTAAAACAGTTTATTCATATAAAGATCTTTGACCTTATACTAAATTTTCTAGAATCTTTTGTATTTTATTCTTACAGCTAAGCTGATATTACTATGGCTAAGACTAATACTTGTAATTAGAGTGTACTATTAAACTATTATGTACTTGTAGAATTTACTCCAACCTTAATACTAACTTTACAACATATTCATACTATTCTAATATTCAATTCAAGTTCTACAAGTTCTCAAATCAGATAGTCTGAAAAGATAAATTGTAATTATATCTCTGGTTTACATATTCTCTAACATGTAATCTTTTTCTTTAGAACAGATTTAAGCAGTCTGGCTGGTTCCATTTGGCCTCTTTTAAAGACTAACTTTTTGTCTGATTTTATGAGTTTTAACTCTGTTTCATAAGTTTAGTCTGTATAGTAGTATTGTCAAAAGTTTGGGTTACCTCTTTATTTAGGTCTTCTAAATAAACTTCTGTCTTCTTATTGGGTTTCTGTAATTTATATGGTCTAAGAACTTATTATAGTTTTACACTACTTAGTACCAGTTTGAATTTCTTTATACAAGGTTGTATAAATGCCTAGATCTTTTAGTCATGTTGGTATAACACAGATAACAGGTATATAATTCCAACTAATTATGAAAGACAGTTAACTATAAAACAGAAAGAATTGTAAAGTTTTTGTTGTTACTGAGATTTGAAGTCTAAACCTGCCACCTAGAAGTTGACAACCTGTTTACTTTACTAGATTACCACACTCCTCTATTATCTAAAGATTTTTGTTCTTTTATATTGATATCTGTTTTCTAGATTTAGACTTTATAGTAATATTATCAAAGGTCTATTTCACTTTTCTACTTGGGTTCTTTTCAAATAGACTTTAATTCTTTTTAGTTTTGCAGATTTATATAGTCATAAAGACTTATTTTGGAGTTTGCATTACCTGGTATCAGTTTTTATCTTTTTGTATAACTAAAGTTATATAAATGCCTTATAATATGCCAGGTATACTAGTATAATTATAATTACAAATATCTTATTTTAACTGATAAACAGAATGTTATTGCTGTAATACTATCTATATATTATATAAGTAATTTTTACTGCCAGTAGGTTTTGAGTTTATAAATTACTATTTAAAGAGTTAACAACTTATTTACTTACTAAGCACTATATTTCAATTTTTTAATATTTTAATTTAATTATTAATAGTATTAGTTATTTAACTACAAATTTCAAAATTATATAATTTATTAAACATATTGACTGAATTATTTTAATCAATTTAACTTGCAATATTTTATACATTCTAAATAATAAAACTAGTTTTCTTAAATCTTTCTTTTCTTTTATTATAAATAATCTGTTTTTAAAAACAATATAAATATCACAAACTTCTCTTTTTAATCAACCTATTATCTATGACAATTTTATATTTATTCTACTAACAACATATTTTTCTAGAATAAATGAACTTCTAAAAAGTATTATACCTCAATTCTTAAAGACTTATTACAAGTTATTTCTATCAATATACTCTATATATCACTTTATACACAAAAATAAAGCTGAATAACAATTTATATTACCTATTACACTAGTATTACATATAAGTAAATACTAAAAATACAAAAATTCATAAGCTAGTATCAATCTTAAAAAAGCTTATGCTAGTTGACTGAGCCAAACTTTTTGCTAGCATAATTTTTTCTGATCAAAATCACTTGACATGTTTATATTAAATATGCAAAAGATTATCAAGTAGTTTTTTTTCAAATTTAATAATTTTAAATTATTTAATTTTTATTTATCCTTGAAAAAAATTTATCATGTTAGTATTTAATGTTGATCTATTTTCTATACCTCATTTATTTTCTAAGAAAAAAATGGTAATCAATATATTTGCACAACTACTGTTATAATAAAGAATCTAAAACTATCTTATAATAATTTATTGTCTTGTAAAATATCTGTAACTCATAATATATTTAAAATGAGAAATAATCTTCAATAAAAATAGCCTAAAAGAAAATTCAAGCATTAATGAATAACTTAATAATACCTTTCATTTAATAAAAGAGTATCTTCAGTAGAGTGGACAATTAAGTTAAACACATTAACATTATAACTAATATTTAAGTTGGAAGCTAACTACGTACTTGGATCTAGTAACCGTAGCATTCCGAACCAGTTTTATTACATTAAACCATTTTCAACATAAAAAAAATGAACCGAACCAATTCTCTAAGTAACCGAATTTTACCCAATAAAATTATCAATAATGTAATAGATAATCTTAAGCTCACTGACTAAATCCTGAGTAAGAGATGCGATCAAATCAGCATAGATAACGGATTACTGAAGCGAATATATATGCTTTAATCAATAAATTACAAATGTTTATAACAACAATGCCAAAGCAATGTTAATCGTATTTAATAATATATCTACTAATTTGTAAATTAATGATAATAATCAATGGGCTTTAATTTAATGCGGTATGCAATTGTACTTTTCAAGCCGTTAATATAAATATGAATGCATAAATGTTTATTCGTAAGTAAGCAAGAAAAACTGTCAAACTAAATTGAATCTGATACTTAATGCACTAGTGGAATCGATACCCTTTAAGCTACTAAAATGCCTAGTTTCTACTAGAACTTTTAATTTGTTTATCATTCTATATATCGATGGATATGCGCATACTTGATTTAAATTTTTTTTGCCGTTGGTAGTTTTTACTTACTATTATTTGTTATAATAAATACATTATTACGTTATACTTTAAACAACGTTATTATAACATGAGTGTTAATAAACCAATTTGGCATCATTTTGAAAAACTTGGACCAGACCCAGATTATAAACAAGTTGCAATAGCAAAAACAATTTTGATCAAACATTTGCAGACAAATTTGCCTGCAAATCGGTAAAAAGGATAAAAAATCAATTTTTTTGTCAATTTGATCCCTTTTCTTAGCAACTAGCCCATATAAAAATAATATATTTACATACAAATATAAAAGGCAAAGTCATGCTGAGAATTGAACACATCACACCATTTTCCATTAAAATCTCTTTGTTGTACACCGTTCCTGGTATATTCTTCGTTGCACTTTGTTCCTATTAAAATCAAACACTAGAAAAATTTTTTTAGGTGCGATCTACTCTTTTATGAGTACTCTTTAAGTAGTACAATTTTAACATCTAAAACCTATTTGCTTCAAAACTTAAAAATTTAATAAGCTTTTATTATTAAAATAAATACGTTTAATAACAATATTATTGCTTAATTGATGAAACCATTTTAAGACCAAAAATTCAATATGGTTTAAAAAACAGCAATCACCTACAATCATCTTATTTTAAGGAAAGAGATTAATAATCCACTTTTGAAACAAATAAATCAATTCCAGGAATTGGTTTACAAAAACCATTTGTCGACTTTTTAAACGTAAATCCTTCAACTAATCTAAATTCAAAGTTCCTAATAATTATAGGTATAACGCATTTAAATTCTAACTGAGCCATTTTCATTCCTAAACAATTTCTTGCACCAGCACCGAAAGGTAAGAAATTATTATTTGAAATTTTTGATTTTATTTCTGGATCAAGCCATCGAGATGGGTTAAAAAATTCAGCATCGTCACCCCAAATTGAAGGATCATGATGGATTGCGTAGATAGGAATAATAAATTGAGTTCCCTAAAAGAAAATTTAAAATATATTAATATTAATATCAAAATAAATTGAATTATAAAGTTATTTATGAAAATACCTTTGGAGTAACGTAACCATTCATAATTTCATCTTTTGAACAATAACGCGTGAGAGCAGTTACTTTAAAATAGAGATAAAAAAAAATAAATAGAGTAAATAAATTGAACAAAATCAAGAAATAAATAGTGATCCATACCAGGTGGACTAATCCTTAAAGATTCTTTAAAGACACATTCCAAATATTTCAAATGATCAATTTCCTCAAAAGTTGGAAAATGATTACGATCAGGAAATTTATCAAGTACTTCTTTACGAAGATGATCCTGAATATCAGGATTTTTTGCGAGATAGTATAGCGCCCAAGATAGCACACTACTAGTTGTTTCATGCCCAGCTAAAAGTAATGTCATAACCTGAAATTTAATAAATTTATAAGTTAAATAAAAATTAATAAAGTTATGTACTATATTTAAGTATATTTTTACCAGACTACGTAATTCATTATGTGTTAACTGTTCATTAACAGACAAGTTTTCATTTATTTTTATTAATAAAGACAATAAGTCTTTTCCTCGAACAGTAGCATTTTTTTGTTCAGCAATTAGTTTCTCAGAAACATTATTGATAGTTTTAATAGAATCCCAGTATTGGTTGTTATAAGAGGTTGGAATTTTTTTGATGAACGGAAAAATGTTTGAAAGCTCCATATATAAAAACGAAGGCGTTTTATTAGTTATTGAATGATATGCTTGAGCTAATTCAGAGTCTGAAGTAATAGAATTGAATTCATAATTAAATCCTATTAAATCATTTTGATTATTATTAAGATTAAAAAATGTTATTGATAAAATCTAATACAGTAATATGTAAAAGAACACAGACTAATATATACCAACAAGGCCAATAACATCTAATGTTATCTTTGGAATTAACGCAGTAATCGTAATTCTTTCCTCTTTCTTATTACCAATTTGTTTCAACCAGGCATCTTTCAATTTATGACCAGCTTGAATGAATGTTGGAAGCATTTCCTTAAAATTTAGAAAGTCGAAATAATCTAACGTACGGTTTATTGTTTTTAACTGATGATAATATTAATAATAGTAAAAGAATACCTTGATATTAGCAAAAGTGAATGAAGGGCTCATCAGTTTTCTTAGCCGCTTATGAGCATCTCCTTGAGAAAATGAAATACCATCCTTGCCAACAAGATCTTTTACCATAGATTTACTTATAAAAAATTTTGGAAATTCGTATGGACGATTTATTAATACTTGTTGAACGAGTTTTGGATCAGTAATCGATATATAAGGTTTATTCAATAAGGTATGAAACCGAATTATTCCACCATATTGCTTTGCTAGGAGAATAAAAGCTTCACCTTGCTTATCTTTAAAAAGAGAGATAAGGTGTCCAAAAATGAAATTGTTGCCCGGTGGACCTGGAATTTTACGTAATGGTGACAAATATAAAGGATAAATATAACATTTATACAAAATATAACCAAAAAACGTAAAAATTGAAACTAAGTAGTAATTCATTTTAAAAGTACAGCCTAAGAAGTCAAGAGAGATGCATTTAATATATAATTTGATCTGAATAAGAATCACTTCATTTTTTTTCTCATTATTATAATAATATTTGTATATTTTTATTGCACCAACGGATGTAATTAATAATTATTTGTGTAGCAGCGTGACTTTAAATCGAACATACATATAGGTACTACGTGCGTAAGATTTATAAAAAAAGAATACCTTCAAATTTAAAATTTTTATACTCGCACTTGCTAAATTTAATCGCCTTATGTAATATTAAAACTTTTAAAATTTAGTATAATTTCGTGCATCCTCACTACAGTACACAATGAATATCTTCACAATTTATTTTTACCTAATTTGTATTAGCGTGCTACTTCGGATTATCCGGTTGTCTAATATTGAAAAACATATTTATACTTTGATCAGGTTCTTGGACCAGTGATGTGAACCCAATTTATAAAGATTATTTATGTCAATCCTTACCGTTATGAGTATTCAGGAAAATTTTCTTAAATGAGTGCTGCCAAGGGAAAATCTGTAATTGAGAATTTTCCGAAATCAATTTTATAGAAATGTACTTATCATATACATGACTCATTAAATAGAATTTAATATAATCCATCAGAATCTGATCACTGTTTCTGAAAAGCGGAGCCGGCATAAACCGAAATTACAGGTTTCGCTTTGCAGCACTCAAATATCATGTTCAATCAATTTTAGGATAAAATATAATTTTTAAAAAACTTGAACGAGAATTTCAGTAAATCGTTATATAATATTATGTAATAGAACTTTTGTTAAGGGTAGAATATCTACTCAAGAATATGATCCAATAAATTTATTAAAGCTTGATTAAAAAACTCCCAATACTCATAACGATAACGACACAATCTTATAATCATAATCACACAGTCACTATTTAAAAAAATCAATAACCATGGGTTACAAAACACAATAATGTAGTTCTTGTTCATTCCAAGAAACATTTGTAAAAGATATAAAGAATGTGCAAGTACAAAAAAAATTATCAATAATAACAAAAAATATTACAACTCTGCAAAAATAAGGTTCAAAATATTTCGTAATACCGTAGAAACTAGTTGCAGCTGCGCCAAAGATAAAAGGAAGCCTCATGCCATAATTTATGCCGCTGTAACCGAAATTAATTGCCATAAATTTTAGCGATAGTTATCGTAACAATAATTAATTATGTTTTGCGTTGTTTCACTATTTTGGATTATTCTATTCATTCCTAATCTGAAATAACTTTGTCAATTCTTAATGTAGTACTAGGATCAATTTGCCGCTAGGGTGTGACTAATTATAAGGCGTGACAAATAATTTGTTGTGGCGGATTAAAATGAAATGAAATTTTGCATAGTCTCTCTAACAACATTAGCATTATCAGTATAACAGAAACCAAAATTGCAACCAATAACCTACTTACCAAACTACAAAAATCCAAACACTTTATATACTTATGATTATGCACTGAAGGCTTTAAAATAGGCATAGCTGTCATGATTTATAAGTTTATAAAAACTCATATTAACAAAATATTTTTTTTTTCAGGATATGCTATTGTAGTAGACATCTTCTTTAAACATGATTTTAAATTCAGAATTATTTTAGTTTATTTAGCATATGATAATATCTAACTAAGACTATTAGTACAAAACACTATAATACAATAGTTCTAACAAGTCTATATATCAAATATCAAATCCATTGTCCTAGGAGATTTCAATATTTCTAATAATATCACCTATTTCTTATTAATTAAATATAAATGGTTTCATTTTCTTTAATCTAATAATATATATAATCTAGTTATATACATTTATAATTCAATATCTATTTGGCAAAGTAACAGATATTAGAGTAACATAAATTACATTTGGACTAATCAATCTTTTTTTCAATATCTTAATTCTTTTACTATAGATAATTCTGATATCAGTACTCAAATTGATTATAAAATTCTGAACTCTTGTTGTTTCTTTTCTTACACATATATATGCAAACTTAGACATCTTATCAAAACTTATAAAAGAATATTTTTATACAAAAACATGAATAAAGATAGATAATAACAATTTGCAGACCAAGTAACCTCAAATTTTAATAATAACAAAATTATATCCAGTATACAAATCTCAGAATTGGGATCAATTCTATAACTCTTTCTATAGATCATTTGTACCAAATTTTTGTTAAAAACATTTAATTATTTCTCAATATTTTATTAAATAAATCTTATTTATACTTCTAAATAAAGTTGCTTAGCTTATTTTTCTCCTCCTATACAACCATATTTTATGCTTCTACAATACTTGGTTACTGAGAAAAGTTCTAAAAACTAAAATATTGATTTTTGACTATTTTTTATATATTTTATTAATTAAATATAACTTGTTATCTATTAGAAAAAGAACAAGCTCTCTGTTCTGTTTATTTTGATATATACTATATTGTAAACAAACCAAAATGCATTGAGATATTTGAAAAAAAACAAAACCAAAATCTGTCTTTACAGATTATTTCATTGGTAAATTTAGAAAAATTTACTGGATTGTTTTAAAAATTCCATTTTTCTGGTATCTATTAAAATTTTCTAAACATCTAATTAGACTTAATACAGGTCCTATATCTTTTAGATCTTTTTTAACTTATCTGCAAAGTTCTCAAATTAGAAAATTTTATCTGATAATCAGATTATTTGATCTGATTTGAAGATTATTTTATATTAGTATAAACATTACATTAGGATAGTTACACAAAATACCTAATATTATTACTGTCAAACCAGACTTCTTCAATCTAGATACTCTCCAGAATAAATATAATGATCGAACATTAAAGTTTTCTTATCTAATTTTAATCTTGCATTATTTAACACTCACAATAGCTATCATTTCTTTTCTAGTCTTACTCAACCTATTATTACAAAATGTTTCTGTGAAAAATACCACACATACTTCACTTCACAGTATTTATCTCTGCCATCTATTCTTGATACTACTTCTACAACTACAATTAAATCATCCAATTCAATAAAAATGACCTTGATGTCAAACTTTACAAATCTTTTTACAATATATCTAAGTTATTCTTTTAACCTAAACATAATATCATTTATTCATTCCTTAACTGTTATAATAATATTAAATAAGATACCAATAATCAAATCCTTTTCCTCACTTTCTCTCATCATGTATATAAATGTATTATTTGCAAAATCAAAAATATATCCTGTATAATACTAACTGATAATAAGCACTTATTAGACCCAAAAGCACTCATATTCAAAACTTAAATAGGTGGCTTTTCAGCTCATCCTCAATGTATCCATAAACTTAAACTAAAGCTAGCCAAATTTACAAATTTTATGAACTAAAAACAATATAGTCTTTATTGCAAAATCAAATGTCTACAATTATTAGCAGAAGATAAGTGCATCTTTTTCAAAAATTTTTGAATAAACTTTTCAAAAAAGTTAAAAATACAAACAAACAATTAAACAATAATTTCAATACAAAAGAACTTTCAAATAACAACAAACAGAAAGAGGCTAATAATAAACAACCTAATCAAAAAGCAAAAATACAAAAATGTAATGTTTCAAAAGATTTTGACTAGTTTAAAAATTATCCTGTTACACCTACCATGCAGCAACATAATAAACTTAATACATCACTAGCTTTACAACTATTTGTTCTCTTGAAATCCAAGCTTAGAGACTTTATCTCTGAACAAATCATTCTAAACAAATCTGATAAAAATAAATATAGCAACAGACCACCTATCAAATACTCCTTTATCTATATTCTTAACAAAATGACAAGTAAAAAACTTAAGTTTCTGTTAGATTTTATTATCAACTCAAGTTCTGATTTTGATAAATCAAAACCAATTCTCTTCAAAGCTTTTTATGATATGCTCAAAGGCTAATTCTCCAATTTACAAAGATGTTCTTTACTTAATTGAACTACCTACATATCCTCTAATTACATTATTTTATTCTATTTCACTCAAATACTAACAGATGTAAAGTGGCTATAAACCTAGCCTGTCTACATCTTTATCTAAACCACAAATATAGAACTATCAACTTCGAAGAATTCATAAAAAACTTGACATTAAGACATTATGGTTCACACTCTATTTTAATATTAAATGCAGCTCAAAGCAACTCAAATTTACTATTCAAATGATAACTGATTTAATATTAATATTTCTATTAATATTCTATCTGAAAAATTCTTAAAAAATTAGAATTCCATCACTCAAGCCCCATCTTACAACTTATGAAGCCTGGTTAAAACTCTTTTTTAAAAAATATAGCATCCAGTTTAACAAAATTGATTAACAGAAAACAAACAATTATATCAAAATGCTAATATCACAAAAACTAACTGAAAAATGCAAAAAGCTTTGGCCAAAAACATATCTTTTATCAGATTCAATACATACTCTTAAAGAGTGCTCTGAAGCAACTTTTAAAGCAACACTCTATAATATCTACCTTTGTACTAACAAAAACTGTAATTTATTAGCCAAATTAACAGAACACAACTTAGAAAACATCTTCAAATTCTATTTCACTAACTCATTTAAAACTCATTCAGTACCAGAATCAAAACAAAAAGAATAGATTTATTCAACATTAGAAACCAATACCTTTCATTCTAAACAAAAACTTGCACTAAGTTTTTCTATATTAACACCTATAAAAGAACTTAGAGTTTTAGCTATATTTACTAAAAAGTTATTTGCAAATCTTAACAAGGTAGCAAATAATACTGTTTGATCTACATATTATTTCTATCACTATCTAAAAGCCTTTATGTTACCAGCAAGAGACAATAACAAACTTGTAGGTTTATTTAAAAAAGAAGCTCTAAAAAAATAATTCAAACAACCAATAACATTCATACTCTTGCAAGAGTCATTACATATTTTAAATTAGAATGGAATTTAAAATATTACTAAAACAAATA